ATCAAAAACACAAAAGATAAGCGTTGGCCAGGATGTGTAGAATTTGAATCCTTGTAAATTGTTGGTGGGAATGGAAAATGGAAATCCACCATGATTGGTGGTTCCTCAAAAAACTAAAAATAGAACCACCATATGATCCAGCAGTTTCACTTTTGGGTATTTAATCCAAAAGAATGAAATCAGGATCTCAAAGAGGTATCTCCACTCCAAGGATCATTGCAGCACTGTTCACAACAGCTAAGAAATTGAAACAACCTAAATGTCTAGCAACTAATGAATGGATAAATTATGGTACATCTATACAATGGAGTATTATTCAGGTTTAAAAAACAAAAAAGTCGTATGATCTGTGGCACAGGTATGAACCTTGCTGACTTTATGCTAAGTGAAATATGCCAGTCACAGAATGAGAAAAGCTGCATGACTCCACTCACATGAGGTATCTGAAAATCATCAAACTCATAGAAGCAGAGAGTAGAATGTTGGTTACCAGGAGCTGGGAGGAGGAGGAAATAGGGGGCTGCTATTCAATAGATAAAAAGTTTCAGTTATGTAAGATGAGTAAGTTCTAGAAATCTGCTGTAAAACTTCATTTTAATAGTTAATACCATACTTAAAAACTAATCATAAGGGTAGATTTCATGTTAAATGGTCTTACCACAATTAAAAAAAACTTACCCCCCACCCAGAAAAAAGAGAAACAAACCAGTAGATGATAAAAGTAGAATGTGGTAAGCGTTACAAAGGCAAAATGCTCAGAGGGCAAGCTGGTCTCCCTTAGCTGTGAGAATCAGGAAGGGAGAGCCTACGAGGTGGGAGTTGAGGGACTGGACAAATACAGATGGGAAGGATCTAGGTCTTCAGGCACAAGGAGTAGCATGAACAAAGAAATGAAAGCAAGCAGTATAATTTTGTTCCAGCATAGGTTCATGATGGCTGAAAAAATAAGCTAGGATGAAATTATATAGGGCCCTTGAGTCAGTAAGGTATAGAATCTATAGTTTAAAAAATTAAAGAAAAAACTTTTTTACACAAATGTTAGAATATCTAAAATTAAAGAAAAATACAGAGAGAGATGTGGTTATCTCACTTAGAGGTAAAGGTACATACAATCTGAGACATGAACCTTGTGAAATCCGTTTTTGAAGTGAGGAACTTTTTTTTTCATATTATTATCTTCTTTCTTTCTACATTTTATTATTTCAAACCAGGTGAACAATTTCATAAAACGTGAAAAAAGCAAGGAAGTGTTCAACGCTGAAGGACCCGGGCCTGGGGCGAGGGCATGAGGGGCCAGCAAGCAGCGGCAGTTCCTAGGTTAGCGCGAAGGAGCTACATTTAGGTTAATGGAGCCAGGGCCCAGGGCCGCGGGGGCAGGCCCTCAGTGACATTGGCAGTTGTCTGGAACAGCCCTTGGAACCCAATTCTGTGGAGGGCAGGGCACCGCCCACACAGGGGGCAACCAGCAGAGGGATGGGTGTAAACACACAGACACACTCAAGGCACA